TTTTCCTTTCTTTTCTTTTTTTGGTGCTGGAAATCAAACTCAGGGCCTCGCTCTTGCCAGGCAGGCACTATGACGCTGAGCTACATTCCCGGCCCACCTTTCTCATTTCTAATTGCATCGATTTGTGTCTTTACTTTTTTGGGTAAGATTGGCTAAGAGGTTGTCTGTTTTGTTTATTCTTTCAAAGAACCAGCTCTTTGATGCATTGATTCTTTGTATTATTTTTTTAGTCTCCATTTCATTGATTTCTGCTCTGATCTTTATAATTGCCTTCCTTATACAAACTCTGGATTTATTCTTGTTTTTCTAGGTCCTTGAAGTGCATCATTAGGTTATTTATTTGAACATGTTGTGTGTTTCTAATATGGTCATTCACAGCTATAAACTTCCCTCATAGAATTGCTTTCATTGTGTCCCATAAATTTTGGTATGTTGTACTGACATTATCATTTAATTCTAGGAACTGTCTTATTTCTCCTTTAATGTTTTGTGACCCATTGATTATTCAAGAGTTTGTTGTTTAATTTCCATGCATTTGCATAATTTCTGTGGTTTCCTTTGCCATTACTTTCTAGTTTCATTGCATAGTGATCTCATAATATGGATGGTAAAATTTTGATTCTTTTGTATTTACTTAAGCAGGCTTTCTTACTTACAGTGGACCCTTGACTTTCGAACTCAATTGGTTCCTGAGGGCTGGTTGTAACTCAAGTTGGTTGTGAGTCAGTACAGCTGAGATCTGGATGTTTACCTGGGTACATGCTATAGATAACAAGAGGCAGATGAATCTTGCATTAACCTAATTAACCCAAGTTGTTCATATGTCAGGCTGGTCATAACTTGAGGTCCACTGTATGTGAAAGTACCATGACCTGCTGAAAACAATGTGTATTCTATTGTTGTTGGTTGGAACACTGTATATTATCTATTAAGTACATTTATTCAGAGGTTTGGCTTAACTCTGATAATGCTTTGTTGATTTTTTGTTTGAACTATTTGTGGTAATGGGGTATTGAGGTCCCCAATTATAACTGTATTGATGTTTATCTGCTCTTTTATGTCCATTAATGTTTGTTTTATGAAGTTGGGTGCACTGTGGTTTGTTGCATATATGTTTATAATTGTTATCTCTCCCTGTTAAATAGTTCCATTAATCAATATTTAGTATCCTTCTCTACCTCTTTTGATCAGCTTTGACTTAAAGTGTACTTTAAGCATAGCATAACTACTCTTGTTTTGGGGCTTTTATTGCATGGAATATTGTTTTTCATCCTTTGATTTTTAGTCCAGGAATTTCTTTTTGGGTTAAATGAACTTCTTGTATACAGCATATCATTGGATGCATTTTGCTAATCTGTGTCTTTTGATTGGCAAATTGAGACCATTTACATTGATGGTTATAACTGATAGGTATTTACTTATTCCTGTCATTGTATTATTTTCTCTCTCTCTCTCTCTCTTTTTTTTTGGTACTAGGGATCGAACTCGGGATCTTGCACTTATGAGACATGCGGCGGAACCACTGAGCTAAATCCCCAGCCCATCATTATATTATTTTCCTGTTGCTGTTTTCCTT